TCGTGTAAAGTAGAACTAGAACTGATTGGTTTAAAGTAAAACTACAGGGAAGGTGAAGGGGGGGAAGGCAGGCGGGCGTAGGATTCGGAGCTGGGTTTGAGTGCAACCCCGCCCCCACACTCACTGGCCACGGGGCAAGTCTGCTGCAGTTTCTTGACCTGCAAAATGCAGAAAAATACCTACAGCTTGTGTGATGTCATAAGGACAAGAGCATGTGTGTGACACGCCCACCTTGGTGCCTGGCACGCCGCAGGTCCATGGACTGCAGTGTAAACAGTCAAGAACAAGGGACACGGGCGCGTCTGCTCTGGTGAGGAGCTGGGAGGAGGCAGTGAGCTCCCTGGCTGGGCCAGGTCCCTGGGCAGAGTCGGGGTGACAAGGCTACAGGGTAGCCTCGAAGGTGACACCAGAAAGAGCTTCGAGGAGATTCCTAACGGCGCCTGGGGGTGGGGCTTCTGGGCCAGCTGGATGGAATTCGTTCTCCTCTTCGGGTGACTCAGGCAGGGACTTGGCTGGGGTCCCCGTGCTGAAGGAGCCGCGCAGGGTGGTCTTGGTCGGGGTTCCCGCCCTGTAAGCAGAACATCCCACAGAGGCGCAATCCCCCGGCTCCCAAGCCCACTCGCTCACGGCTTCCCCCTCGGCACCGACGTCAAAAGCCTGCCAGACAACAACGCTCAAGCGGGGGCCACTTGCTCCAAACTTTAAAGAATGCTTGAAGAGTACTGCACTGTGACAGCGTACAGGTCCCACTGCCTAAATCTGTAACAGAGACACAATTCTGACCAACCACACTCACATGGTGCCAGTTTTGAGATCAGACCGGGTCATTCTTCCTTAGGAAACCGCCACTAGAAGCATTGTTTTTCCGTGTTGTTTCAGTGGTTTAAGTGTGTGTGTGTGTGTGTGTGTGTGTGTGTGTGTGTGTAAGTGTAACTACGGTTCTGGGCTGGTGTTTCTATTTATTTAGTTTTAGATGTCAGCATTTTACTCTCCTCGGGCCTCTCATTTCAGAATAACAGGGCTATTTATTGATACAAAGGAGAGGTGTTCAGATCGTCTCGTTAAGATGCAAAGCTTAAAATAAACACCGAGTCTTTATCTGGAGATCCACATCCTTCCTCTGAGGAAGGCTCACGGGTAAATCCGTATGAAGCCTGGAGCCCGAGTCGAGCGTCTATTTTTAATGACGACCGGGCTTCCATTTCAGACGTGCAAGTGCCGCAATCAGCGCCGACAGGAACTCGGATGCCCCTCGGTTTTGAGCAGCAGAACCTAAGCAACACCACGATCACAGGCTTCCAGCGGCATTGGGAATCACAGTGAAGTGATACCTACCTGACTTCTGCAAAACACCCAACCCAAACCAGCCCACAGTATCCAACGGAGATCAGCAAACGGGCTGCCATGAACATAGCAGTTTTCTGCCCTTCAGGGAAAACACAGATAATAAATACAAATGACACGCATTTACAATAGAAGCCACGGGTGGGGCAGCAGTAGGTGAACACAGAGACGTTCACGCTGAGGAAGATGGAAGAGTGATGCCTTTCACACACCCGGTCCAGGGGCGGGGGAGCAAATGAGCTGACCCAGCCACGCGGGAGAATGCGATTGCTTCAGCTTCGAGTGATGGAAGTGAAAGAGCCGCTGTGCACAGCCAGGCTGCGTGGCCGCGGCCTGAGAGCGCGGGGGTCCGTGCTCGCTTCCCACGGCAGGGCCGGACGGCGGGCTTCCCCCCAGCACCGCACAGAGCTGGCTTCTGCTCTCTGCAGCCCCAGATCTTTCTGGGTGCTCATCCGGCACGCTTCTTCCCCCCAGCGCCAAATACTATCTTTCCAGCAGGACCCTGAAAGACTGGGATTGGATTTGGTGCACAGACCGCGGTAGTCGGGGTGAAGGCAGTTCCTAGAACAAGTCGCTTGGCCTAGATAAATGCAGCTCGGTCCCAGGAAGAGCCGAGGGGCTGATAGCTGATGGAGGCCGCATACTTTCCAGCCCACTCACGCGAACAGGGAGCAGCCACCCGGGGTCCCGGAGCCAAGTCTCGCTGGGTGCCTGTTAAACAGTCTTGCTGGAACGCGGCCAGGCGTTCGGTTTATGTGTCGTCTGCGGCTGCTTTTGTGTTACAGTGGCGGGGCTGGGGAGTTGCAGCAGAGGCCATTTGGCCCGCCACACTGAAAATACTGTATCTATTAGCTGGCCCTTTACAGAAAATATTTGCTGACCCTCGCTCTAGAAGGACCAGGCCCAGAACACCCATCCGCTCCTTACAAAAGTGGCTCCCCTTCTAGGACTGGTTTTGAAAAAAGCCCAAGGTCTCGTTTGCTAGTCTGTTAGGGAGCGAAGCCTGTCTAGGAGAGGCTTTGAATAACTGCAAGAACCCCGCAGCTGAGACCCACTGCCATCTTCTCTCTCTTCCTCTCACTTTTGGTTCTGTCTCTCCTTTCTGCCTTTCTTTTACCCGCTCTGACTCCTGTCCTTGTTGCTAAATTCTGATGAGGATCTGGAAAATCCCGTGCCGGCAGGTCCGGACGGCGGGCTTCCCCCCAGCACCGCACAGAGCTGGCTTCTGCTCTCTGCAGCCCCAGATCTTTCTGGGTGCTCATCCGGCACGCTTCTTCCCCCCAGCGCCAAATACTATCTTTCCAGCAGGACCCTGAAAGACTGGGATTGGATTTGGTGCACAGACCGCGGTAGTCGGGGTGAAGGCAGTTCCTAGAACAAGTCGCTTGGCCTAGATAAATGCAGCTCGGTCCCAGGAAGAGCCGAGGGGCTGATAGCTGATGGAGGCCGCATACTTTCCAGCCCACTCACGCGAACAGGGAGCAGCCACCCGGGGTCCCGGAGCCAAGTCTCGCTGGGTGCCTGTTAAACAGTCTTGCTGGAACGCGGCCAGGCGTTCGGTTTATGTGTCGTCTGCGGCTGCTTTTGTGTTACAGTGGCGGGGCTGGGGAGTTGCAGCAGAGGCCATTTGGCCCGCCACACTGAAAATACTGTATCTATTAGCTGGCCCTTTACAGAAAATATTTGCTGACCCTCGCTCTAGAAGGACCAGGCCCAGAACACCCATCCGCTCCTTACAAAAGTGGCTCCCCTTCTAGGACTGGTTTTGAAAAAAGCCCAAGGTCTCGTTTGCTAGTCTGTTAGGGAGCGAAGCCTGTCTAGGAGAGGCTTTGAATAACTGCAAGAACCCCGCAGCTGAGACCCACTGCCATCTTCTCTCTCTTCCTCTCACTTTTGGTTCTGTCTCTCCTTTCTGCCTTTCTTTTACCCGCTCTGACTCCTGTCCTTGTTGCTAAATTCTGATGAGGATCTGGAAAATCCCGTGCCTTAGAGATTTTCAGCAGCCTCCTTCATTTATGTAAAAGGTCAGCATTCCCTGCCGGGAATTACCAAGTAGCGCGTTCCCCTGTCCCCTTCCCCATCCCGAAGCCAGCACACGGAGGGCAGGTTTCTAGTGCAGCCTCAGCCTCCGGGTGTGGTGTCTCTGCCTTGTGGCGGGTTGTCCAGTTGGGAGAGGAGTCTAAGGAGCTCTGTGGGATGCGCTCGGGCCTGCGTGCCTTCTCCTCCAGGAGGGGAGTCTGCCCACGAGGGTACGAGCCACGGCAGGCACGCACACAGCTCCTGGAGAGGAGGCTGTTGGAGTCCTTTTTAATTCCCCATTCCCCCCAGGAACGGGCTGGGTTTTTCCCCCTTTGAGCTGTTTTGAATGACCCGGTTGCTTTGTTTGAAAGCCATTTATTTAGATGACAGATATGTAGATGTAACTGGATAAATAAAAAAAAGTGAAATTGAGATTTGAAGCAGTGGTTAAAATATAAACACATAGGGCCACTCCCTCAGTGTCCCCAGACAGAACAATGGCTCAGAAGTTACACAGAGATTTCACTCTCCCCACCCCCAAGCAGCTCTGAACCGCAAGGTCCCATGCAAGAACCGAATTTCGGTTTGGCACCAAGCACCCCCTTGGCCCTGCCTCCTGCCCACCCTTTCCTGCGTTCCCAGCGATAGTTTTACATTCACTCCCGCCTTGGCGCCCTGCCTTCCGCCAAGACAGTCCCAGAAGCTGTGGGCCAGGCCCAGCACCAACGGCGTGGTCCAGCCCAGGTGGGCCAGCTTGTCCCTGCCCCTCCCCGTGTCATCGCCCCACAGAGGACACCGCAGCCCACCGCCCCCTGGCTCTGCAGGTGGAAAGAAGACAAAGTTACAAGGAGGACGGTGTGCTCCCTTGAGTATGCGTAAGTGCAGAACTCTTCAGGCCCCGAGGCCTCGCCGCCCCGGGGGGGTCTCCATCTCACCTGTTCATTCCGCTAACACACACCTTCATGAAGTCCACAATCCCCACAAAGTCCTGTGTGACATCCCCCCTCTTTAATAGTAAATGTTTTGGAATGTCCATAGATAAGAAAATGGACGGCATGGAGGAAAGATTTCATAGCCAGGCCTTTCATTTCACCTCCGGATATCAGAATACTCGGGCTGTTCATCCTCCCACTCACTGCTTCCGGAAGACCCCTGGGCCCCGGGAACACCGGCTCTGCCCCGGGCATGGGCATTCGGGTGGCTCCTGCTACCACTCTCGCCCTTGGCACCTCGGCCGGTCTCCCTACTGCTGGGCTCTGAGAGGTGGTGACCCGCCTCGCCGTGATGGGCCCTGGAGATCTTGGCTCTGTCCATCTGGAGCTGGTGCTCAGGAGGGGCTGTGGGGGGCCTCTGGACGGCTGAGGTGCAGAAACTCAGGATGGAGCACAGGCCTCCCCAGCTCTGCTCGCACTGGGTCTGCACACTGTGGGTGATGGCCTCCTTCACCTCCTCCCCACACGTCAGCAGCAGGTTCACCAGGTCCACGTAGGGCCTGCAGCGGGGCCAAAGAGAGATACTGAGACTGAGAGGAGGCCCATGCAGGCCCGAGGGCGATGGCCATGCCAGGCAAGGGATGTACGGCTGGTTGCCGGCTAGGGTTTGGTGAAAGAGCTTTCTGAAATGACTCTAGGCCTTCCCCCGTACTTTGTGAAGGACTGGGCTTCACCAGCATTTGCTAGGTGACCATTATACCATGCTCTATGCCAGACTTAGGAGGGAGTTCGAGGCACAGGAAGGGTCCCGCTCCTGGAGTGGTTGCAGTGCTAGAGCCCACACAGGAGAGGAGCTGGGAGCAGTTCCCAGGGGCACAGGGCTCGAGCTTAGTGCTGGGACCCTAAAAGGAAAGCCGTAGGGAAGGTGAGAATTTGGGTAGGGCAGCTGTGTAAGTGATGAAAAGAGGCAGGACGGCTCTGGGCATGTCTAGGCCACGCTAGCCAGGAGAGTATTAGCTGGAGTGGAGATGGGTCTTCAGGCCAGTAATCCTTAGGCAAATGATAGAAGGTCTTAAATACCAAACAGAGAAGTCTTATTGGTAGGGAAGGAGCCATGAAGGCTTGAGGCAGGGCAGCTCCTGAGTGACCTCAGTGAGCCCCACGTGGTTCCCTCCCCTGCGCCATCTTTCAGGTGAGCATCCTCTATGTGAGGTTCCCGAGAAACCATGCTCCCCCATGTCTGTGTCTGCCCCTGGTTTAGGCTTATGATGAAGGTGTTTTGGGAAGCGCTGGCTGTACCCCTTTCTGCTCTAGGGGAGCCTGGATTAGGTGGCAGGGGTAGGAGGAAGCCTGCCTCCCGGATGTCATTTCCATGCCACCTACATTCCTTCATTCGGGGATTCCCCTGCATGGCAGGTGAGGGCTGGCGACGAGGGACCCTGCATCTGGGGTAGCACCAGCTCTGAGGCGAGCAGGCTCATCCTGCGGTGGAGCAAGGTGCTCAGTCCACTCTGGGGCCTCGGGCCATTCTTCAGAACATTCCTGGACACTCTCCTCCCTGGGGAACAAGGTGTGCAGGCCGGGGAGCAGTGTGCCTGCTTTTTATGTTTATGGGCTTCTCTGGCAAGGGGTGTCCCCAGCAAAGGGCTCTCACGGCCTACTCACTAAGCCTGCCTTCCTTCCCAGTGGCCTTTCAAAATCCCCACAGGGGGTGCGGCTGCTTCACCGGCTAAGCTGAGCGCCGCCACCTCGTCCTACGCTGGCCGTTTCGGGTCTATCTGACCACGAGCGTCCCAGCTCTGGGCTGTCGCCCTGGGCAGGGGAATCACTCTGGAATGTGAGGCCGTTGTAACAAGGAACACGCCACGCTGTCCCCTGTGGGTCGGACCTCCTGGGTGACTGTGTCTCAGCCCGGCATTTCTTGCAGGTTGGCAGTTGGCGCTTCGTAGAAGGCACAGTCTGTTCTAGGACTCACGAAGCAGTCTAGAGGCATTTTTCTTAATTAGTCCTCAAGCTGTAATGGAGCGAACTATCCTCACTTCCGACATGTAAAAACTCAGACACGGCAGGGAGAACGTGGCTTTTGGAAGCTTCTGGGCTAAGGAGAGCCTGGGGCTGGGCTGAGAGCGAGAGGAATGTTCTGGTTGAGAGATCAAGCTGCTTTTTAAGGTCTACTTGACAACTTTGGAGTCAGAGAGTGTGCGTGGCTGAGGGGCAGTGTTTAGACACTCGAAGGCAGGCCCTGACAGTGACAAGGCGGTGAAGACACCGTCTCCTCCTTGGGCTACCCTGCGGGAGGTGCCTACCCCACGGAGGGCACGCGTGTGGCAACTCCAGGGCCTTGCTTGGTGCCTGCTTGCCTCTTTCTATCCTTTGAAAACTAGCAACTGCCCGGGGAGCTCGGAGCTGAGTACCTGCTCCAGCAGCGTCAGGGTTTTAGCACCAGCCTGTACCCCCATCCTGGGCTAGAGGAACGCTGCCAGGGCGGAGTCTCTGCCCTCTGGGGAGGACCGACAGGCCTTGGAGGCTTCCCTTTCCAGAGGAAGAGGACTTTCTCTCTTTCACCAGGGCGTCTGTGCACTGGAGCTCTCAGAACCCCTAGGTGGACCCTCTCTGATGGCACAGGGCTGTACCAGCCGCACTCTTGCGCTCAGAGCGCTTTCCCCAGGAGGAGGCTGTGAACTGTGCCGAACCAAGTTAATCTAAGCTGTGTCCTGAGCTGGCATGGTGCCTCTCAGGCTGCAAGCTCAGCCCGTGTCTAATGACAAAGCCCAGCTCTCTCGGCCGGGTGTCAGCAAGGCTACAGGATTTTCAAAATGCTCAGAGGGGATGTGCCTCCAGGCTCCAAAGGATGGGCAGCTGCCAGCACCCAGTGATGGGCGTGTGGACCCAGCCAGCAGGCTGGCTGCAGCCAGGGAGGCAGGTGACATGGAAAAAGGGGAGGTGGCAGGAAAGGGTGAGGGTGAGGGGACCAGAGGAACTCAGGGAGCTGGAGAAGAGCTGCTTTAACTGAACATGGTGTCCTGGGGTGGGTGGGATTGGGCTGAGGACTGGGGTGATGTGGGTTCTAGGCTGACTGACTTCCTCTCCTGGGAAGTAGAAAGCCAGTGCAGCTCTTGTTTTCCGGTGTGTGACCAGGGCCACATGTTCCGAGGTGGCTGGCCTTCTGGTATCTGGGGACTGCTAGAATCCTCTAAGCAGTTAAGATGGTTGAAAAAGTAAAAAGCCAAAGAACTCGGGCAATTCACTTGAAGTATGTGAGCTGATGTACCACATAGTTGTGGCTTCAAAGGTGGGGGGTCCTGGGGACTTGGGGGAGCTGGAGTCAGACTAACTGGCTGCTTGGAGGTGTTGGCTTAACGGAGGTAAGGACTGGCGAGTGTTTTAAAGGAGGCCTAGCCAGCCTGGTGGAGCAGTTGGTCGTGGGCCGAGGTGCGGGGTGGAAGCCACATGGCTGACTGCAGGTTCAGGGCTCAGCCTGGCCGACCTCAGACATGCTGGGTGCAAGGGTGCAAGACTCCAGTGAGCTGGAGGGCAGGGAGGGGCAGATCACAGAGTGACAGGGCCCATCAAGGGAGCTTCTCTGCCTCCCTCTTTCACTTATGTGCTAGCATCAATTTAAAAAAATAAACAAAAAGAGGCCCCACCTCATACAGAGTGGGTCACCTGGATTTCCAGAACAGGTCTTCGAGGGGTCATGTCCTCATTCTAAGTGGTGTGAGGAGCCCTTTATTTATTTACTTTAAGAATTATTTTATTTACCTTTATTATTATTATTATTTTAGTAATTCCAAAGAGAGACAGAGAGAAAGAGAGGGAAAGTGAGAAAGCAAGCCTCCAGGTCTAGAAGTCGAATCCCAGTCAGTGATGTGGGAGCCCAGGGCCCTTAACCACCATGCCACCTGCTGACCCCGAGGAGCCCTTTAAAAGCAGGGTCTTCCGACCCCAGGGCCATCTTCCCAGGGAGCCGCGGTGCTTTCTCCCCTCCTAAGTTCTAAGGGGGTCTGAAAACCCTTGAAACTTTCAGTTTTCCCAAAGATGTTTCTTTACAAAGGACAGCGTCTCCTTGTAATCGGGCATGCATTATGACTTATAAACTAGCACCCTCCCCCCCGGCCCACTCCTGAGGCCCACTATGATCTCCAGTGGATGGCAGTGGGGTGAGGGCAAACCAACTTCAAGGAGTTTCTCAGCCACAGGGTGACTGTTTCTTCCAGGGCACCGTGAAGGAGGGGAACTTCCCAGTGTGGTGGGGATATCTTTGAGAAAAGGAAAGAAAAGGAAAAAAACCAAAAGAATCCCCCCAAACCATGCTGCTACATGTGGGGACCAATTAGCCATTAGCAGGTCTAGCTAGGAGAGAAGCAGGAGTGGGAGGTCTGAGGGCTGCGGCTGAAAGCTGACTTCGGGCATATATATCGCCAATTTCAAGTTGAAACATGGGACTGAGACCTCCATGCAAGTCCTTTAACCTCCCAGCTCCATTCTCCCCCTCTGTTAAATGGGACCAGCATCGCTGGGAGAGATGAACCAGGTAACTCATGTAAGGCCTTTGGCCAAGGGCTGGGCAGCCTGAAGGAACGAGAGCTGTCGTCGGCGATTCTGCCGCTGCCGCTCCATTATGGGCATTTGGAAGAATAACAAATATCTGACCCCACACCAGTGTAACTCGAGGAAAAAGCAACCTTATTTTGATGTTGGCAGGAGCTGCCTGCTGAGTTTCACCACCTCTCCTAATTATAACACGGCACTAGGGGGTGTTACAGGACACCTAGAACCTTGTGGCCAAGGGGACAGTGACAGGTGACCCAAGTGGGACTGGTGGGGTGGAAGTAGAGCCTGCTCGGGGACACAGTTGGGGGAAGGTCGCGGAGCACACTGAGGAACACGTGTTCATACAATTGTACTGTTTGGGACCAGCAGTTGGCGTAATGGCTATGTTGCTGGACTCCCATGTAGTCTTGAACCACAGTTCAAGTCCCAGACCCGGTGGCTTAAACTCACGCTGGGCACGTGTGCATGCACGCCCAAGATTCCAGGAGGAGAATGGAGGAGAAAGGATTGCGGCGTGGCCATGCCCTCTGGGGGGTGATTTCTCACTTTCTCTCTCTTTCTCTGTCTTTCTGGCGAGTGCACAAACCCCATACCAAAAACCTCTCAAAAAAAAAAAAAAAAGTACTGTTTGGGCCCGAGTCCCCAGAAGGACCAACAGTGCCATCAAGTTAGCACTGGCGCGTTGCGGCAATGACAGGCGCTTACTGCTGCTGTCTCTTTCTGCCCTGCGTCTCTCTGGAAGGAGCCACTGTACTCCGGAGGGAGCAATCATGTCCCAGAACCCTGTACGATGTGCAAGGTGTATCCTAGATTGGGATCTACTTTAAGGACTGCTTTTCGGGGGTTGATCATTGAATTGCAAGTCTTCAATCAAGTAAGCTTACATTTTCTTACTTTGACCTCAAAATGTTTACCTAATCAGTAAAAGTTTTAGACCACTGTTTTGCACTTTCCCTCGGAGGGCATTAATGTATTAGAGAAGGGGCACTGGAGCCTTTAAGAGAAAGGAGAGTTCATAGAGGCAGATAAAATAACCCTTGCTCTCGGGGGGCTGGCAGGTGGTGTGGGGGTTAAGGGCGCTGGACTCCCACATGGCCAACAGTGGTCTGGGTCCCAGACCTGCTGGCTTGCTTTCTCATTTTCTCTCTCTCTCTCGCTCTGTACTTCTCTGGTCAAATTTAAATAAGTAAACAAAGTTAAATAAAATAATTCTTAATAAATAAAAAAGCAATTGCTCTCAGTTTTTGGCATGGACGAGCATAGGTTCTGGAGCCAGACTGCCCGGGTCCAAACCTGGCCTGGCCTCTCAGCGTGGCACCTCCGTTTCCTCATCTCTAAAATAGAGATGATAATGGCACTTCACTCACAGGGAAGTTGGGAGGATCCAGTGAAAATCCGAACCAAGCACTGAGCACAGGGCCTGCCACTTACTTTAGTAAGCTCTCAGCGAATGTTACTTGCTCTCTGCCGTCTGTGAGGACAGAGACTTGGAACAGCCAGAGAACTCCTGGGTTCTTGGCTAAGGGGGCGAGTATTCCTGAATCTCCAGACTTCACGCGTGGGGAAGCACTCTGTCCTGTTGGTGACTTGAAACTGAGGATGGTGCTCTTTCACTCCTCCTGAGAGGGAGCCCCGGGGAAGTCAGCGTAGCTGTCTCAAGTCAACCACCACCACCTCCAGTTGACAGGCATTCAGCCTCTGCAAGCAAGCCCCTCAGCCCCCACAGGCCTTGCCTTGCTGGGGCGGCCCTCCTCCCCAGGCCCCTGCGAGGTGGTACTCACTCCTGCAGCAGCAAGTCCTTGAAATGAATCATCTCCACCATCACGCGGGTGTTCTCCCGGGCAGCTGAGCACAGGTCGTGTTTGAGGTAGCACTCCCGCTGCAGCTGGGACACCATTTCCTTAATGGCAGGGCACTTCCGGCTGATGCAGCCGAACCTGTGCCGCAGAGCGTGGGCCTTGCACTTCAGGGCGTCTTTGATGAAGGACTTGCCCTGAGAACACAGAGGACAGCGGAGAGAGGCGGGCAGAGACAGGGGGCCTTGTTAGGTGCGCGACCTTTACCCTTCCTGGGCTTACACAGGGCTTTTCTGACAATGGCGCCCGCAGGCTTGGCCTCGGCTGAGGTTCCGGGGGCACAGGTCCACGCTGCACCAGGAGGTACTCCTCGGGCGCTGTCACCTCCGGCGTCCCCCAAGGAGATCAGCTCTGTGGACGACAGCTCTCCTGCCTCCTCAGCCACTCTTTGGCCTCCCCTGACCTGGGCAGCCCGCTGTTGGCGGCTGGGTGGCCACTTCTCTGGAGCACGAGGGGAATTGGCTAGACCCAAAGCCAAACTCCTCGGTGGCTCCCAGAAGAGTCCTGCCCATGCGGAAGGTGCCCTCCCCTTCCTCTCTGCCTCCGATTCCAGAGCAGGGCCGACCCAGCCTCCCTTTCTGCCTCGCTGCCTCCGCGGCCTCAAGCCCACGCTCCTGTCTCCTCCTATCCTTCAAGGAAGGAGCATTCTTTTTCTTTTGGAAAAGGCTTCTACTCCTTTAAACTGTTAGGATTATTGCCTCTCGAAGGCGCGCCTGGCACACTGCCTGGCAGCATCTGGAGCCTGCACTGCCCACTGCGGCCCCTCCCCCGCCGGCCTCGGCCCCGGCCAGGCATACATCTGGCCCGCAGTGCTCTTTCCTGGCAACCCCATCAGGTTGGGCTTATCCTCGAAAGGAGGCAGCTGTTGGGGGGTGAGCTCCCTTATCAACCTCCCCGGGCCAGAGGCATTGTGGGATGCCTACCCAGGAATCCCCGCACCCTCCATTACTATAGTAACGAGCTGTCGGCGGAGAGGTCACCCCTCTGTTTTTAGACAGGCCCGGAAGTCACTGAGTTGAGAAAGTAAACGGGTTTGGGTTGGAAGCGGGAAGCCAGCCAGGGCATTTATTTTGGCTCTCCCTTTAGAAGCAATTGAAATGTCTACAGATAGTGTCTGAGCCCCGATGAACCATGTGGCCGGCCATTCCCC